TACACCTCCTTTTCTCTTAGTGTATTTGTCACTTTATGTTTTGACTTCTGCCTTGTCATGATCCTTCASCCATGACTCTTTCTGTCATGTTTCAGAGATCTGCGAGGGAACTTGTTCCAGTGCAGCTGTGAGAACAAATGGCTGATGACGTGGCTGAAAAATACAAACGCCACAGTGTCAGATGTCTTTTGCGCCGGCCCCATTGATATGAAGGGCAAGCGGCTCAATGACCTTCCCATTCCGCCGGGCGAATGCATTTCCACAGGTAACGTAACAGGCACAAAGGTATGTTAGAGGCTGCGGGGAGGCTGCAAATGGTCAGGTTAGAACAGTGGAATCAATGAAGGGGTTGAATTATTTACCAGGACACGATCATGTCAGGTGCACTCAAACACAAACAAACTCAAGGTCAGCTAACATGTTTACCACTGTACAAAGGCTTACATAAGCAGGTTCACACATAATACCACACAAACCTAGACTAATAAGGTAAAAATTAAAAGCCAATATRTGGTCTGTTAGTACTCAGAGTATGTGTTATGATTCTTACCTACATRAAATCCCAGCTGAATTTAATAAAAACTGACTGATTATAGTCATTTYTGTGTTTTYTGAATTGTCCAAAATGTAATCCTCAAAACAAAAAATCCTGCATGCTAACATGCTCTTCAAAGGCTGMTAACAAAGCTCAGCGTAATTTGATCAAAATGCTTACAGATGCGTTTAGTGATAAAGAGAGACAATCAGGAATTTTAACACTGTTGCTGAAGATGTTCAACCATAAGGTCAAAACGATTGTTTGAATACAACAAATCTATTGAACAAATAATAGTAACCCAGAGAAAACCAGGATGAGTTCTAACCTGTTACCAATGTAATGAAGTTCTTYAGGCCAAGTTATTGCAGAAAATAGAATAGAGGGTAAGTAAGTAAGAATATTTTAAGTTTATCCTAAAGGGTAACCCATAAATAGTTAAGTCACTACAATAAATAAAAGTTCTACATATGTGCTATTGTACTATTAGTGAATGCATTATGAAAGCAAAACATGATATTACTTGAATTTGAAGTCTAAATTCATTGCAGATAGTTTTTTTAGTATTGAAATGTAATTTAAGGTTCTTGATCATTTGATTAAAAAAATAAAGAAATAAAACATTTTCTTCCTTTTCCCCCTCTTCATGTTGCAGACTTTGTGCGTCATCAGTCCATTCCTATTCAGTCCATGTCGGCTGACATCTTCTCCTTTAAAGATGACATCTTTGTGGCCATGGCTGCCCCAAACTCCAACAGCTGTGTGATCATGGAGTGGGATCACATTGAAATGAATTTCAGAAAGTTCGACAATATTATAGGTTTGGCAACTTTTCTTTCTTTCTTTCTTTCTTTCTTTCTTTCTTTCTTTCTTTCTTTC